ACGACATGGATGTTGCACTATTACAAAGGGAAATTCTTATCTTCAACATCCGATCATCAATAACCGCGACCCATGTGTGCCGTCGCGACCGCACGCGTCACTCACACGCAAGACTACACCTCAACAGTGAATCTCATACATTGGCTTATGAGCAATCTTTTTTGTACTCTATCATACTTTGTTGGAATTATTCTGTGATTGCAGAAAAATATGTGTCATATTTATTTCATCTGAGTCATTACTCATCATGTACATGTATTTATATTAATCATTAGTGACCACGTGGGCGAGCGCATAAAGAGAGAGAAAATGCGTCTCAGCATCAAGAGCAACTGGCAAGAAATGTATTAAAAAAATACGAATAATGAACCTCACAGTAACCTTTTTCACATAGATATCACAATATTTCATGACTAAGTAAAGATCGGAGCCGTTAGCTATTAACAAAAAAAAACGAAGAAGGAAATCGCGCAAGCTCACTACGATCACAGCTCGAGAGAATTAAAAACCGCGCTTAGAATTGGTGAGGGGATTAATGTGAATGGGATGAATAATTGGTGAGGGGATTAATGTGAATGGGATGAATAGTGAGAGAGAAAGAGGACAAGCTAGATTTTTTTTTGGTACCGAATCGTTCCGTACATCACATATTGATCAGTTATTATTACTTTTAGCAAGACAATACAGTGTAGCACAAACCCTGTAAGTGACAACATGACCTATTGAAAACATTTTGGGAAGAATTTTACATTTAATTATTATGGGATACAAACATATGAGAAATCAAAAATTATCAAAAGAATAACAATAAGCATGACATATACACAAGATGAAGGCGATAATGTAAAACTGAGAATTACGACCAGGAGCACAGCATGCAGGCGGTGCGTTTATGACGGAAGAACAAAATTACACATACATGAATGATTGGAAAAGAGTTGAAATAGAGCTCTCCAAAACGAGGTTAGCAAATTGGACCCTGGTCCCGAAGCTGGACGTAATTGCACCACATGCATAGTCAACAGCTAACACCGCAATTTACGCCTACTTTCAAAGCGCTCGGCTTTTTTGTAGACCTCCTTTTTCTATTTTCTGCTTTCACTCTGTGTTTTCTGTGTTTTTCGTAGCTAGGCGCTCTGTCAAATGACGACTGATAACGCACGTGGCGTGACTGTATCCAGCAGCGGGGATATGGTCTAATTTGCTTACCTTCTCCGAACTAAGACGAACATCGGCGATCATCATTGAGGCAAAAAAATTGCTATAGCTTCTCAACCGCGCTTGCTTCTACCCAATGGTCAATACGGTATGACATTACCACAGACAATTAATCGCTGCTAATGGTTTATATGACGACAGATCGCATGTTGGCCTCTTCCGGAATGCAGTTGGGTCAATGTTCTCAACCTTGAGATTAGTTCGTCACAAAGTAACTCACTCGTCGGCGAATCACCGGCGACTATCGCAAATTCCACATGCGATTTTTGTTCCGGAGGCAAAGTAGCGCAGCCGATTTCAACGCCGGTTGAAAGTGATAAACGACGCATTTCTAAAGGTCAACAAATAAGCGAGTACAATTCGAAAAAATCCAACAAAAGTGAGAAAATGTACTATATCACGTACCCTGATCCATATATACAACCTCATTCGTCTCCTCGAAGCGAATATGCATTTCATTCAAACAATTTTTCAATTCCTGTACTACATCGACGAGAGGAAGAGTGGAGACGAAACTCTGCAACGGTAAAAATCGATAGTAGCTGAAGAACACGGATCAGTGGCACCAAGATATAGTTAACCCATTGGGTACCGCATTGCAACCGATGGCAGCAAACGCTCGTTTGCCTTTGTATGGCCACGTGCTGCATTGGTGAAGCACGCTTCGTTGGAACTTATTGAGCATTGTTAGATGATAGAAAAGAGTCGATTTATTCCTGAAGTCTCTTGGGACAAAATATGTGAGGAGGAAACTGCGGGATTGAATAAGAGCTAAGTTAGTGTCATTTTCCGAGAAATCCTCAGCTATTATATTCTTTGTTTCATTCTCATTTACCGATAAAATGAAACCTGTTATAGCAACGAACTGAAAATTTCGTAAAAGTGGTGTGAGTGAGGCAGTTTTTCGATGTACATTGCGTCACATTTTTTCAACTCTTCTCAATCTTATCAGGCTTTTTTGGCTAGTTTCGAATTTTTTGGCTCATCACTTTTATCACATAGCAATACTGAATCCCGCTTAATATACGTCTACCGTAAAGTGGATTCATAATACGGTGTGTTGTAAATATTTTTATTCTCCTATGTATGAAATTAAAAAGTCTATGTTTTTTATACTCAGCGCGCCACAAGACGCATCGATAAAACGGCGCCGGCCATAGGAGCCGGTTAGCACAAAACCAACGAGTTAAAAATCGATATCGAACTCTGAGAATCATAATTCGGAAAGAGCGAGTGATTGTCAGACCCACACTGCTTCATATGCGTTCTCTAAGCCCATGGGTGTGCCTATACTTCGCGATTTTCGTCGCTCTGACCGATCCAATCAATCGCACTGTAGGGGGTCCCGAACCGCGAAGTATGAACGCGCACAAAAACTGAGGGATGCGACCACTGGAGAAACGCTACCACGGGGAAGGGAACGCGAAGGGGAAATCACCAAGGTCAAAGCCCCGACTGCCCCTTGTGAGTGCGCTTTTAGAACATATTTTTCGTCTTAGTCGTTAGGAAATAGTTCATTCGGTGTCGATTGGCATCATCTCTGACCGGGAGACGGGCAGGAGAATCGTAGTTTGCCGGGTCGTCCGCGCGCGGCACAACTTCTGACGATGAGCGCGGAAAATTTCAACGGGCGTCAGCGGCGATAGGGCGCGGAATTCAAACTGCGGCGCCTGTTTCTTGACCGCGCAGCGGTGAGACTCGCGGAGATCGCCGCACATGTTTTTTTCCATATTCCCACACATATTTCACGTGTTTTTAGCCATTTCCTACACCGTCTACTGCTGTCATGGCTGAAGATATGAAGCAACAAAACACATCATCATCCTCAGTACCGCTAACGGCTGCCACTCTTTAGTAATACCCTTCAACGCCCCTTTAATGTTCAAATTCGAACGGCTAGGCGGGAAAACTCGTCTCTAGCGGCGCGGCGTCGCTCGCAAGGCAAGCCAGCGAGTGCATATCTATTGTTTCTCTTGCGTAATATTTTACTCCCTGTATTCGCTATATCTCTTTAATCAATTCTGCAGTAGTGTGTGTATAAGTTATCCCTTCGTAATAAGTGTCTCTCGTGCAGAACGGAAAAGTCCTTGCTCCAAAACTCCGAGTGTACGCTGTGTTGTGCTTTGTTTTTATTAACTCATGACGTCGTTCTGGGTGGTCACTGTATTTCTGATCACAGCCGCTCCCCAATTGAGCTTGCAGCTTGCCACTGTCTTCAGGTGTTCTTCACAACAAGGACCATGACTTCTTGTTCACTATTCAGTGAATGTAACAAGGCCTGATTCGCTGCTCCATCCCATTCAGAATGAACCCGCGAATATGATCCCTTTCTTCGCGTCAAAGCACGACCTCCGTTTGTAAATTTCTCACCGCACACGGCGTGGCCTGGCCCATCTACAGCGGCCAACAAGACTAGGAACTGCAGGCACGGTCTTCAGTCAACAACTCAGTTCATTCCTGAGGGATCGTCAGTCCCTTCGCCTTGCAGTGAATGATTTAATGGACAGCAAGTCCATCCTATGCAAATTGAACAACCAGCCACCTTTTCAGTAAAGAGAGCACAATCAGATGCCAACCTCATTCAACGATCAGAATTCCAACTCCGGTCAAACTGGAAGAGTATTTAACTGCAATTAGCCGATATGTGATTGAGGAATTCTCATGCTATTCCATCAGTCCACGTTAAAAAAACAAAAAAAAAAAAAAAAAAAAAAAAAGAAAAAAAATAAATTTTCAAATTATAAATCTTACTGGAAAATGACTTGTGAAGCAGTGAAGTCGCCCAATCAGTGTCGCCTATCGCAATCAAAATCACTCTCCAATTTGACAAGAGTCCTTGTATGCGATCGTTGCAATTGATGGTTAGCACTCAGTTTTTGCATGTTTTACTGAATGGTGCTGATTGTTTTGATTTGTATAGGGAGGACTTGCAGAGTTCATTAAATCATTCTCTGCAAAGTGAGCAGATTTACAGTTCCTTCGAAGTGACTTAGGAACGTCGAAGAACGTGAAATTATAAACGACTGGCAAATAGCGCGTTCACAAATGGTGAGGTAGTTAAGCGTTATTCACAGGTTCGCAGCCCTGTGGAATCAGCGCATCCGCGAAAACGTTTCATACAGGGCTTGTCCTGCAGCGGGGGAATTCCGCAGATACAAGCCCCGCCCCTGATTTCCTCCTCTGCAACAACCCCTATCCTTCTCTATCCTACTACTATCTTGCCGGGGCACTTCCTAATTCCACTAAGTAACTCTGCTCAGAAATACGGACTTCTCCCGTCCCACAACGCCAAATATCACACCCCCAAGCCCTCCAATAACGACCGCAAAGCGAGAAATCACTATATTAAAAATAAATTTTTCCAGCAGCCAAAATACGACCCCTCCCTCATATGGAATTCATCGAACGCTGTGCCCTGATCCGAAAGTTGCGTGCAATGGTGGCAGAAAATGCAGCCGACATATCGATTTCTCACACTTCGGGATTTCTGGGGCAGATTCCGTCACATCTTTCATTTTCGGCATTGTCTTGCATTTCTTCAAGTTCGATAGTATCTATGCTTGTTCTGGAGATTCCGCACTCTGCATAATTTTTTCCCGTCATTGTTTGCATTTCTTCCTGAACGCAAGCTATGAGCGCGTCTTAGGTGTTGAACGCGGTCTAAGGATGTGCATAGCGCCCGTGAAACAGGGAAATCAACTTTCAAAGAATCTTTTTCTCAGATCAATACTACCCCCTCCCCTCCAGCGGCCAAAAACGACCCTCGCCAGGAGATTCCCCAACGTTCGACGTGCCTGTTTTCAACAAGTTTATAAGTCTGGGATGTCAGGGTGCGACAGTACCCGAAAATTGCGCGTGAAGTTAAAAATGTGACGTTGCGAAGCACACATTCGGGCATACCGCAATCCGCTTCAGTTACCAAGTTTAAGGCACTTTTAATAGCCCACTTATACGTCTTTTGCACAACCTGGTTGATATTCGTTCCATCTTTGACCCCCACCCAAGCACGCATACGCGCGCGCAGGGGTGAAGGAAGCTCAGGGGTGGGTTGCCGCCCGGGCAAGGACCCGCCTGGCCTCGGCAGGTGTCCGTGCGCGCTGCCGTCGCAAACAGCCAGATACGTATCGATCGGGAGAACCGGCGCAGGCGGCTTGCTTTCTCTCCTATTCTTGAATCGAGCGAACAGAACCAATATGTATCTATTAATTCAGCGATGACATCGGTTTCGTCTGCTCGCTCCGGTGGTTGGGGATTTTAGTCGACTCTATACGACCCCCAGCCCTCTGTCCTTCCTCATCGAATCGAGCCGTCGAGCGGGGGGGGGTAAATAGCACATGTGAAACAGGAAAATCACCAAAAGTCAACCGCCACTCCCACAACGCCAAAACGTAAATACGACCCCCTCCCTTTACAACGTCCATGAAGCGAGAAAAATCAACTATCAAAATAAATTTTTCTCAGCCCAAATACGACCCTATTGGGGATTCCCCAACAACGATGTGCCCTGATCCACCACCCTCCCACCGTTTGACTAGGACCGAGCGCAAGGAAAAAAAATGGTCGCATCAACATTCTGTACTGTTCCTTTCTCAAATAACTAACTGCAGTTCTTGGCTATAGGAACGTCTGGGATAGGGAAGAGTAAGCAAAACTGAGGAATTCTTCACACACCTTCACTCTGTCGTCTATACATTCCTTATCGTCCAATTTGATATTTTGCTCGGGTGAAGATGTTCCTGATTTTGATGTTGAAGCGAACCCAATGACTGTAGCCGGTCTTTGACCAAAAACCATCTCGTTCACCTGGAAAAAGGAAAATAAATTGCAATAAAATATGGACCTGGTAAAGCTCAATATAACAGCTACAATAACAACGCACCTTCTGCTCGAACAAATTAACCGGATCGAATAAGCTGGAACCTTGTGCGAGACTTCGATTGTGTTCATCAGTTA